TGGTTCAGTTGGATTGCTCATGTTATTCTGGCCTCCAATGTTTTCCTCCTTGCAAAGGGAACTCCTCATTTTTCGATGTTTACTGCAAAGGTCTGACAACTACCCTTATCATTGTGAGATGCAAATATCTGCATCATGACTTGTTCTGGCCAAGAATTGTGGCTGAGACTATTTTAGGCACTTTAAATTGAGTGTATGAATGATTCTGTTACATAGTGTAAGCAAGGGACTTTCACAATGCTGTAAAACCTTCTCCGTAGAAGTTTGAATTCATATGATGAAAAAGGTTTGATCCATTTTTCATTGTATATACATTTAAATATGGATTTTTATTGATTGAGCAGAAATAACATCATTAGTTATTTGCAATCATGAGTTCTGAGAAGAAAGTGGCAGAGCAATTGGAGGAGGATATTGTTGATTTTCTGATAAAAGTATATTTTTGGGAAAAAATACATTTCCTTAATGATGGTATTCAAACAAAAGCAACATCATTTTTATAGAAAAGAAAGATTTTGGGAGAAATTGGTAGAATGTATTATCAAAATCATTGTGAATATCAGTCAGAGCAGAGAACTAAATGTGTTGAGCAAAAATTGGGGGAAAAAGATAATCATGTGGAAAAAGTGCAGAATTGATAACGGATGGAAGAACAGGTGGTGGAGATCAGGAATGCATTGTCATGTCTTGCAAAGATCTGGATTGGGACTATATAGTAATCTAAATTAAGTATGATTGTGGAATGGCCAAATCTGATTATAATATCAAATTATTTATAATACATAATGTGAGCATACATGCCTGTCAGCAATCTTGTAACATAGAGCAATAGCATGTCAGACAAATTGTATACAAAAACCCACATTAACACAGAACTCAGACGCAGAATTTTATTGAGCATATAGTCATCAATATATAAACAGTAGTTGCAAAGAGTGGCAAATATCACAGTAGAGATTTAAAAAATGGTAGAAAAACATGTACAATAGTAAACTTGGAATGCTTTAAGTGTCTGGAATTAAAAGGAGATTGAAACAGTATGGGTTCCTGAGAGGAGGAAAAAGAAAGAAAAAGAGGTTCAATAGAAAAAGTGATGCAATACTTTCCCTAACACATAAAGCAAGAAGCGGCAGTTTTGGGGAACTGCAATGATAAAATCCCCCAAAATAAGAGACTGAGAATGTGTAAGATACATATAAGAGACTGAGAAATTATTGCTCCTTGGTTCCATTGGTGTTGTGAGAGCTGGGAGGCACTCCTGATTGGAAGAGTGCAAAGATAAACAAAATAAGACTTTGAGAAACAAGAATTTTGGGAGGTATCAAAAAGTAATTTCATATTAAGGACTGAAACTTACTCTAGGCAGCAATTTTCACTCAATCATAGAGTTGGACAAGATGAGAAGGATCATGAAGTCCAAGCCCATTCTCCTATGCAAAACTACATAATCGAAGCACCTTGACAGATGGCCACGCAGCCTCTGCCAGAGAAAGAGATTCCACCACACTCCGAGGTAGCATATTCCACTGAGGAACAGATGTTACCTCCGGAAGTTCTTCTTAATGTTTAGGTGGAATCTTTTCCCCTGCAATTTGAATCCATCGCTCTTTGTCCTAGTCTCCAAAGCAGCAAAAAAACAAACCTGCTCCATCTACGATGAGATATCTTTTCAAATATTTAAACATGGCTATCATGTCCCTTCTTGATCTTCTTTTGTACAGGTTTCTTCAGAACCATTTCTATTTGTACTTTCTTAGATTCCAGGGGTTCATCTCTTAGCATGGTTAATTCTCAGTTCTGCATATTCTTTCATAGCTTCTTTCATTCTTCAGAGAAACCTTTTCTCTCTCATCTTTGGGTACCTAGAAGATTTTCACCTTTTTTATTTAGATAGAAAAGCAGGATACAATCTAACTAGATTAAAAGGAAGTCAGTGCTACATATTGTGGACAATATTGAAACATATGTCTCAGGTTTATGGAGTGTGCTTAAGTTTTTTACTCTTCCTTCAGTAGTCCTCTATAATGCCAAACTTCTGCTACAGAGAATTTTGCAGTATACATAGAAAGCTAGCTGTTTCTGATCATAGCAGCAGGATCCAGCAGAAGTGCACCATTGGCACTTGGCCATTGATTTATGTGGTTTATGTAGAGGTTTTTCTGGGCCTTTATCAGGAACTAGCCAAGGATGTGGACCCAATATTTCCTTGTAGCTGTTGATCGGTGTCGAATGTCACCACTTAATAAGAGAGAACACATCTCTTGAGTTTGTGAATTTGGAACTGCAAAAACCCAGATGGACTACTAGAAGACTCCCAGAGATCTTTCAAATATAATTCTGGATAAAATTACTGTTGTTTCCTAAACTTTCAGGCACTTGTGGCCTGATATGGCATATAACTGTGTGTTTAATTATTTCTAAATGAAATAAGTGGGATTTACAGGTGCTTAACTTTAGTTGGTCCTTGCCCTTCATGGATGCTACAACATTTTGAATGGCTAAATCTGGCTATTTTTTTAAATACTTAATCAAGGCAGGCATTCTTCTTCTTAATTCTTGTACTTAACAGCCCTTTTACTAAGTCTATAAAATCATCCATTGATTTTCCCAGCAATATTATAACATTCATTCTCAGAAATCAGATTATTCTTGATAGTGTTAAAGCCATGGCAAGATGGTCTTCTATTTGCAAATGTAATTTAGTCTCATGAGAAAGTAATCTCGTTAAAATATTGTCAGGTTAATTGAAATTGATTTGTGTTTACTAAACATAGTGGTTGCTAATCCAATAACAGACATAGAAGCTTTGGAGCTACCGTTTGATAGATTCCTGTTAGTTCTACCCTGAATGAATCAGTGAGTCAAATCTAGGGAGAGATAAATGCACTGGAGCTTTTTTAGGGATTAGTTTTTTTTTCATTCTTTCAAATGGATAAGATTAATGTGTCAATAGTTTGCTGTATGTGAGATGCTATGCTTTGGGTTAGATGAGATAATTATGAGGTCTGGATTGTATCTCTGTATCAAATACCAGTAGGTTGTATATATCTTTCTAGTGGTGTAATTGTTTTTTATTTCTTCTACTTGGTTTTACTGAAACTTATTTCCACAATTATTGTGTTCAGAATCTGACCAATATATGAGAAATATCTGCTATATGTTGCCCCCCCCCCCAGCCAACAGCGGGAGGGAGATGCAATGCAGGTTCCCATCCCTCACTGCACCAGGTACCCTGCACTGCCACACTCCCCACAGGAAACTGGGAAGAACCCTTGCCAAAAGGGAAAACAATCCCAAACCAGATCCAGGGCCACCCCTAAGTTGTGACAGAGGAAAAAGCAAAAACACAAAACATAATAGCCAAGGGTGGGGAAAGCTTGAAGGCAACTGAGATGGGGCAGGCAGCATGCCGACTTAAATAGTCAGCAGGTGGATGGTAGGTGGAGGGGTCACCTGCCATCACAACTTCCCTGCCCAGTAAGTCGAGCAGGGGATTTTGCATAAACTGTAGGGTTGGAAGCGTTTGCTCGGATGTGACATAACTTAGAAAAAAAATCAGATGTTTTTGCCTTCCAAAGGGACTTCTGCCAAATTTCCCCAAGGCTGTAGTCCCCTATAGTTTCGAATTGCCTTGAGTGATGGATTTCAGGGATGCAGAACTATGATGAAGCATTTTTAATGCAGCTAGGCCTGCTGGGAGGTGAAGCCTCCCAGCCAATCAGGAGTTATGTTTTGGGGAGGGGTTTGCAGCGCCTGGCAGACATTGCTATATATAAACCCAAGCACATGACTGGAAGGCTCATTGGCAGCCAGGGAAGGGAGAGGGGAGGTTGGACCATTTTTGCTGCTGCTTGTTGCTGTTGGGTGTGTGGTGGAAGAAAGGGGTTGGAGCCAGAAGAAATGAGTTTCTGAAAACGGAGGAAGGGAAGGGAGAAGGGAAGGGTTTGGAACCAGAGAAGAGAGAGAAAGAAGGAAAAGTATGTTTGGAAGGCAGGGAGAGGGTGAAATTAATAAATTCATTTTTGGACATTTCTTTTTTTTGCTCACAGTAAAGCTTTCCTATGTTTTATTGGGGCCTCTCCCTTTTTTCTGGGGCATGTTTTGGGGACTTGATGCTACATTTCCCAACCTTGCTGGGCCTCAGCTACACAAGCAGTATGAATGTGTCTGAAAGTTGGAGACAGTGATCCCTTATAACTGTTTGTCATTTCCTTAAAAAATTCAAGGAGGTAGCTCTTTTATTTCAATTTTAATACGTTATTTCTAAAATTGTTTTTAAAAATTCTTTAAAATTGGTGGATCATCTGAACATGTTGAAGTTTGGTATGCTAACAGAGAAGGATGTTTTGAAGAAGTATATCAAGTTTCAAGATTGGTGTAAAAAATGAGGGAGGGAAAAAGCCCTCGACTTTCCACAGTGCCAGTGCTGTTTTCCGCATATTGCACAGTCACTTCTAAAAAAAATTCAGAAAAAAATGGAAGTTAATTTAGAATTGAACCACCAGCAAAAACACAAAATGAGATCCAAAACAAGTTTTGAACTATTTTTTTTTATCAACCAAGCCTACAAAACTGCTTAGGATTGATGCTAATAAAATTGATATAACAGTATATATTTATTTTATATTAAAGCAATCTTAACACGCCTTTTAGGGGGAATCATTATATAAACTAATAACGATAGCTTTATTTTAGTTTATTAACCCTTTAAGTTTCAATACTATTTATGTTCTCAATTACTGGCTATGATCTTTTAAAACAATGAAGATTCTTGTGGCACCTTCAAGACTAAGACATTTATTTTGGCATGCACAAACTTACGCTGTGATGTTTTTGGATCTTATGGGGTTTTTTCCTGCAAAGGACTGAGACAGGTCCCTTTCTTGATGTCAATAGGCAAGAATACTAACATAAATCAGAAAGAGGACTTTTAATGTAGGATGCAACTTATAGACTTCCCATCAAAGATGCATGATGCACATCTTAATTTTTCCCCACAGAAAACTCTTCTTTACGGATTATGGCAATGCTGCTAAAATTGAAAGATGTGACATGGATGGGATGAACAGAACAAGGCTAGTAGTATCTAAAATAGAGCAGCCCACTGCCATTACTCTTGACCTGATCAATAAATACATTTACTGGGTTGATGTCTATCTGGACTCTGTGGGAGTGGTTGACTATCAAGGACAAAATAGACATACAATAATTGAAGGTCGACTAGTAAGTATTTTTGCTTATTTACAGCATTGCTTTGAATACACACTGGCATGTGTTTATTTGTGTGTGAGAGAGCCATTAATGCTAATGTATATTTTACTGAATGATTTTACACAATGTTTATTTCATATATTTTCACAGTCATGTGAGCCTTTATTGGCTCATTTTGTGCCTGTTTTCATTAAATGTAAGTACTTTCAGCATGAGTGTTGTTTGTTTGTGTGTTTTTGATAGCATTTTTAAAGCTGAACCAAGAGGACACTGGCATTGGTTTACCAAGTCATGGCTAGGGCACAATTGCCCTTTTAAGAAGAAAATATTCTTACAATAAATTAGTCTGTGTGGTTTATGGCAACCACCCAAATTTCTTTTGTTGTTGTTTATTTGTTCAGTCGTCTCCGACTCTTCGTGACCTCATGGACCAGCCCATGCCAGAGCTCCCTGTCGGCCGTTACCACCCCCAGCTCCTTCAAGGTCAGTCCAGTCACTTCAAGGATGCCATCCATCCATCTTGCCCTTGGTCGGCTCCTCTTCTTTTTTCCTTCCATTTTCCCCAGCATCATGGTCTTCTCTAAGCTTTCCTTTCTTCTCATGATGTGGCAAAAATACTTTGTCTCTAGTAATTTTCCCTCCAGTGAGCAGTCGGGCTTTATTTCCTGGAGGATGGACTGGTTGGATCTTCTCGCAGCCCAAGGCACTCTCAGAACTTTCCTCCAACACCACAGCTCAAAAGCATTGATCTTCCTTCGCTCAGCCTTCCCCAAGGTCCAGCTCTCACATCCGTAGGTTACTACAGGGAATACCATGGCTTTGACTAGGCGGATCTTTGTTGCCAGTCTGATGTCTCTACTCTTTACTATGTTATCGAGATTGGACATTGCTCTCCTCCCAAGAAGTAAGCGTCTTCTGATTTCCTGGCCACAGTCTGCATCTGCAGTAATCTTTGCACCTAGAAATACAAAGTCTGTCACGGCCTCCACGGTTTCTCCCTCTATTTTCCAGTTGTCAATCATTCTTGTTGCCATAATCTTGGTTTTTTTGACGTTTAGCTGCAACCCGGCTTTTGCGCTTTCTTCTTTCACCTTGATTAGAAGGCTCCTCAGCTCCTCCTCGCTTTCGGCCATCAGAGTGGTGTCATCTGCATATCTGAGGTTGTTAATGTTTCTTCCAGCAATTTTCACCCCAGCTTTGCATTCATCAAGCCCCGCACATCGCATGATGTGTTCTGCATACAAGTTAAAAAGGTTGGGTGAGAGGATGCAGCCTTGCCGTACGCCTTTCCCAATCTTGAACCAGTCTGTTGTTCCGTGGTCAGTTCTGACTGTTGCTACTTGGTCCTTGTACAGATTTCTCAGGAAAGAGACAAGGTGGCTTGGGATGCCCATCCCACTAAGAACTTGCCACAATTTATTATGATCCACACAGTCAAAGGCTTTAGAATAGTCAATGAAGCAGAAGTAGATGTTTTTCTGAAACTCCCTGCCTTTCTCCATTATCCAGCGGATATTGGCAATTGGGTCTCTCGTTCCTCTACCTTTTCTAAACCCAGCTTGAACATCTGGCAACTCTCGCTCCATGTATTGCTGGAGTCTTCCTTGCAGGATCTTGAGCATTACCTTACTGGCATGAGAAATAAGGGCCACTGTACGGAAGTTTGAGCAGTCTTTTGCATTTCCCTTTTTTGGTATGGGGATATAAGTTGATTTTTTCCAGTCTGATGGCCATTCTTGTGTTTTCCATATTTGCTGGCAAATGGCATGCATCACCTTGACAGCATCATCTTTTAAGATTTTAAACAGTTCAGCTGGGATCATCTCCTGCTGTCTTGTTGTTAGCAATGCTTCTTAAGGCCCATTCAACCTCACTCCTCAGGATGTCTGGTTCTAATTCATTCACCATACCGTCAAAACTATCCTCAATATTATTATCCTTCCTATACAGATCTTCTGTATAGTCTCGCCACCTTCTCTTGATCTCTTCAGCTTCTGTTAGGTCCCTGCCCTCTTTGTTTCTTATCATACCAATTTTTGCCTGAAATTTACCTCCAATGTTTCTAATTTTCTGGAAGAGGTCTCTTGTCCTTCCTATTCTGTTGTCTTCTTCCACTTCCATGCATTGCTTATTTAAAAATAGTTCCTTATCTCTTCTGGCTAACCTCTGGAATTGTGCGATTTAACTGGGCATATCTCCCCTTATCCCTGCTTCCAAAAGCTTTCCTCCTTTCTTGGGCTACTTCCAGTGTCTCAGCAGACAACCATTTTGCCTTCTTGGTTTTCTTTTTCTTTGGGACGTACTTTGTTGCCGCCTCCTGAACAATGTCTCGGACTTCTGTCCATAGTTCTTCTGGGACTCTGTTTACTAAATCTAGTCCTTCAAATCTATTCTTCACTTCCACTGTATATTCGCTAGGAATGTTAGTGAGATCATATCTAACTGGTCTGTGTATTTTCCCTGATCTCTTTAGTTTTATTCTAAATTGGGCAATAAGAAGTTCGTGATCTGAGCTACAGTCAGCCCCAGGTCTTGTTTTCACCGACTGGATGGATGTCCGCCACCTTTGGCTGCAAAGGATGTAGTCAATCTGATTTCGGTGTTGACCGTCTGGTGAGGTCCATGTGTAAAGCCGTCTTTTAGGTTGTTGGAAGAGAGTATTCGTTATACACAGCGAGTTTTCCTGGCAAAATTCTAGCAGCCTGCGTCCCGCTTCATTTTGTTCTCCCAGACCATGCTTGCCTGTGATCCCAGTTGTCATTTGACTTCCCACCTTGGCATTCCAGTCTCCTGTAATGAAAATAATGTCTCTTTTTGGTGTATTATCCAGTAGGTCCTGCAGATCCTCATAGAACTGATCTACTTCTGCTTCTTCAGCAGCTGTGGTTGGGGCGTATATTTGGATCACTGTAATGTTGAAAGGCTTTCCTTGTACTCGAATTGAGATCATTCTGTCATTTTTTGGGTTGTATCCAAGCACCGCTTTAGCGAATTTCTTATTAATTATGAAGGCTACTCCATTTCTTCGATGTTCCTCTTGTCCGCAGGAGTAGATCTGGTGGTCATCTGATGTGAAGTGGCCCATTCCAGTCCACTTCAGTTCGCTGACCCCCAGAATGTCTATCTTTAGTCTTGACATCTCGCCAATAACAACATCCAATTTGCCCTGGCTCATAGATCTTACATTCCAGGTTCCTATGGTGTGTTGATCTTTAGAGCATCGGATTCGTCGTTCGCCTCCAGTACCGTCGGCCGCTAGCCTTCCTTTCGGCTTTGAGCTAGCTGCGTCATCACATCTGGGGCTAGTTGAACTTATCCTCTGCTCCTCCCCAGTAGCATTTTGGCCATCTTCCGACCTGGGAGTCCCATCTTCCAATGGCATACCGACATATCTCTGGTTGTACTGGTCCATTTAGTTTTCTTGGCAAGGATACTGGAGTGGTTTGCCATTGCCTTCCCCAGGGAATCAGTGCTCTCACCTCTCTGCCAAAACCGTCCCGTCTTGGGTGTCCCTTCACGGTTTCGCTCATGACATCATTGAGGTGCTCAAGCTCCAGCGCCCCGACAAGGCGGTGATCCTTTGCTGGATCTACCTAAAATGTTTTATAATGTTAAAATCTGCATCAAATGGCCAATGAGGCATTTGGGAAATAGATATTAAAATGTGAAGAAAACTTGTTCTATTTATAAGAATTGGTCATGTAAAGGCATTATCATTTTTTCTAATCATTTCCTTATGTTGTAGTGTTTTATACATTTTGTAGAATTGTTGTTTAAAGTGCTTGTCAAACTGTTCTAAGCCAGACTATGTCATTTTAAAAATGTTCAACCAAATCTGCATATGGCATATCATAGAAAGAATAATCTTAAAGATTTTCCCTTGGTGGGTTTTTTTATTGTTTTTATTTGTCAGTAAAGTCAAAGACATGACTCTCTCCTCTTGCAATATGAAATATCTAGGAAGAACTCCACAACTATGATTTAATTAAACATTTGGCTGAATTCTAATCTTTGATCTTGGGACCTCACAGATTTCGTTGTGTGGGAGAATAATGGACAATATCACATTAGCGCTCAAAAGCAGAGGCATCTGTTTTCCTATTGTGTGTCTTTCTCCTGCAGAATTCTGGGAAATGCATGGAGGCTGAGGACCCCTCTGACTGAGAATTCCAAAGGCCCTGCCCTAAACTACATATCCCAGAATTCTAAAGGAGCAAAGTGGGTGCCTCCACTTTAAAATGCTTTGATATCATCCCTATGGTTCTGTATTTAAGACAATACAACAGAAACTTGATTCTTATCCTTACAACAACTACTATTCATACTGTTAGTTTTCCATTTCTTTCTTCTGATGACTATCTGACATCAGCAAAACTATCATTGTGCTCCAAAGTATTTTAAATGGCTCACAGTTAGAGAGAGTTTGGTATTATTTCTGTGGCATTTCATGGGTTTTTTAATTAACAAAACCTCTTTACACTTCTAGCGAGTTAATTCAAAAGAAAATTATATTGTGCAAGTGAAAAAAAAGCAGAATCCATTTGTGGTTTGTTATTAATGAGTTTTTCATTAGCAATGATCGATTTTCTAAATGTGTTCCCATTATTCATTTTTGTTGGTGGCCTTGCATTACCATTTGATTCAAACAAGTTGTGATAAAATCAGATAATTATATATTTTCAACCCCTCAGGTTAGACATCTTTATGGATTAACAGTATTTGAAGACTATTTATATGCAACAAACTTGGACAACTTTAGTGTGTTACAAATAAACAGATTCAATGGTTCAAATACCCAACTGTTGCTTAGATTTGAAAATGCCCAAGAAATCCATGTCTACCATAAAAGAATCCAACCAACAGGTAAGGCTTTCATTGCAGCCTGTCACTATGTTACTATTGATTGTAGGTAGAGATGCCAATCTTATTTTAATATAGCTCTAAGTCACAAACTGTATATTCAACCATCGCTAATTATCTTGAATTTTCATTTATATTGATCCCATGTACTTTTAACTGAGAGGAACATGTAATTTCATGTCTGATATGTCTTCTGCAAATCCAGACTGAGGTAGGAGGGGAGAGAGTAGTACAGGATATGCATTTGATCCTATGCTAAACTTTTAAAGCAACGAGCAAGGGTTTATAGTTCCTTGAAGTATATTGTGTCTCTATATTTAATGCTGCCACCACAGATACTTTGTCTGAATCCAAGTTCTCAGAATGATAGAGAGGTCAAAGGGGCATAAAAATAAAACAAAACTATATTTATAGAAATCAAGAGGGATTTGCTGAGTGGGTAGAGGGAGTAGTTACAGTGTCACTAAAAAAGGGCAGAGTTCTAACCTGCCTGAAGGAGGCTTTTAAAAATCCATACCTGGATCCCACCATTCTGCATAAATGTGTGGCAGTTTCTAACATTCAATTTTTAGGCAAGAGTCTGGAGCATGTGTCAGCCTTTCAGATCAAAGGGTTTCAGGATGAAATGGATTTTCTAGATGCATTTCAATTTGGTGTCAGTTCTGATTCCAGTGCAGAGACCACTTTGGTCACCTTGTTGGAGGGCATTCAGAAAGAACTAGACAGGGGGAGTGTGTCCCTGCTGGATACATTGGCAACTTTTGATACCATCAATATAGTATACTTCTTGGTCACCTTGCATGGATAGAACGTGTGGGCACTGGGGTGAACCCAGAAGATGGTGCTTGTGAACTCCTGTTTGACACCTTCGCCATTGCCCTTTAGGGTCTCCCAGACAGGGGCGGCTCAATCCATTACGCAGAGTTAGCATTTGCAGTATAGTTGATTTTGCCCAGAGGCGCTCTTGAGGTGCTCTTGGAGGAAAATAGACCTTGACATATGCGAGTTGTAGTTACTGGGATGTATAGTTCACCTACAATCAAAGAGCATTCTGAACTCCACCAATGATGGAATTGAACCAAATATGGCACACAGAACTCCCGCAACAAACAGAATATATATATCAGTGATTGGTTGGGGGGGGGGGCAAAATACTGCTTGCTTACCGTTGAAAATTACCTAGGGCCGCCTCTGCCCCCAGAGACACTTTATGGTCAGCTATACTATTTAACATAGATATTAAATTGCTGGGAAATGTTTCATGGATTTGGGGGTTTGGTGCCATCAGTATGTGGATAAAACCCAAAGTTGTGGCTCCTTTCCACAAGCTAAGGAAGCTATTTTGGTTCTAAACCACTGTTTGTCATCAGTAATGGATTGGTTGACCATAAAATACTTCCACAGTTCAAGTTCAGGTTATTTGTATCCTTATATTCTCCCTCATGAACTATCCTTTGTTGGGAGGCCCTTCACAAACGTTATGAAAATTATCCTTTGTAATCCTTCTCTTATTTTTCTCTTATATATTGTGAGCAAATATTTAAATCTTACCATTTGTAAAGTCACTGAAATATAAAATGAAATTACTCTTAACATTTCAGGGTTAAATGCTACATGTTATACTCCAGAGGCTTCATCCATACTATTAATATACCAAAGCACAGTGATAGGTCTGCCCATGTGTGTTTAGAATACAAGAAACATAACGGCAATTCTTACAGATGGGAAACTCATGGAAAAATTACTGGCATAAAGTGCCAATATGATATTTCTTGGCAAATAAATACTAAGCAGAGTAGTAAGCATAATCTCCAGAATATCTGCCCCCAACTGGTGAATTCAGTGTTGCTAATTTATATGAATATCAAGCCCATTTCCTTAGGAAATTGTGAGAATTAACATAAAAATGTTAATCCTATACACTCATGGAAGCTTAATCCAATGAGTTCCACTCATGCAATTAATATACCTGTGTATTGTCGAAGGCTTTCATGGCCGGAATCACTGGGTTGTTGTAGGGTTTTTTGGGCTATATGGCCATGTTCTAGAGGCATTCTCTTTTGATGTTTTGCCTGCTTCTATGACAAGTATCCTCAGAGGTAGTGAGGTCTGTTGTACCTAGGAAAAAGGGTGTATATATCTGTGGAATGACCAGGGTGGGACAAAGGACCCTTGTCTGCTGGAGCTAGGTGTGAATGTTTCAACTGACCACCTTGATTAGCATTTGATGGCTTGGCAGTGCCTGGGGCAATCTTTTGTTGAGAGGTGATTAGATGTCCCAGATGTCCCAGATACCTTTGAGGATGCTTGCCATAGATGCAGGCAAAATGTCAGGAGAGAATGCCTCTAGAACATGGCCATATAGCCTGAAAAAAACCCTACAACAACCCAATATAGCTGTGCATGAACATTAGCCTAGATTAAACTACTTGGGTTTGCTGTTTGCTGTTAATAGGCAAGAATGAACTCAACCCAGATTCCAGATATTGTGTTTTATTAAGGCTAGAGTGCAAGCTTTTTCATTATAGGAATTTTTTTTGCAGCATATGTTTCTGTTGAGATCTATACTGCATTCTGTTGGATCTCCCAGAAATGGCATGGCCTGACTTACCAGGCCATGGAGGTTGTGGTGAGGGGCGTTCCCCTCCGCCATTTGGCCTGAGGGGGGCTTCATCTTCCCAGAAGCCCCCTCGCCTAGCGGGAAAGTTCTTGCGGTTCAGAAAGATGGCCCTATCAGCGGCCGGCCATGCCTCCTGGCAGGAGAGCCCACAGCTGGCCTCTCCTCCCTCGTGGGCAGCCTACTTAAGGCTRCCTTGGGCCCACCTTCAGTCTCTGGACCTGCAACAGCTGATCCACCCTACATGTGTTTCCAGGAACTGTTCGTTGTTAGTTTGTTTTGTCAGTTGTCACAGTTACCTGTTCTTGCTGTTGTTCATGTGTTTCGTCACAAMTCTGGTTGGSGTGGGCATGGGCCCTGGATCCGGTTTGGTATCCCCCCCCTCAGCGGTGAAGGGGGAACGCCTGGTGTCTCAGGGGTACCGAGTGCATTGGGCCCGGTATTGTGCCGGTGGCACCCCGGTGTGTCTCGCGGTATCGGACASCAGTGGGCTGCCCGATCTTGATCCAGGACCCATGCATGGCTGCCAACCCTTGTTCCTGTTATCAATAAATGAGTTGTGGCCATTGTTTATCCCAATACCTTGTGTGAGTGGTTTTTCTTGGGCTGGCRGGGGGAGGTGTATCGCCCGTGCACACGCAACTCCTGCAAACCATCTAACAGCTTGTATCTACTCTGTCTAGTTAATATGAGACTAGTCATGAGCAGAAAACCTCCAGGGTGATTCCAGGGAAGACCACTCAGTTCTAAAACACAGTGTAGGGGACACATTATCATGATGATACAGGTTAACCTGGAATAAATCTGGAAATCCAGGTTTATTCCAGATTAAATAACACCTCCAAAGATCTAAACCAGTGTTTCTCAACCTGGGGGTCTCGACCCCTGGGGGGGTCACGAGGGGGTGTTAGAGGGGTCACCAAAGACCATCAAAAAACACAATATTTTCTGTTTGTTCTATGTGGGAAGTTTGGCCGAATTCTATCATTGACGGGATTCAGAATGCTCTTTCATTGAAAGTGAACTATAAATCCCAGCAACTATCAACTCCCAAATGTCAAGGTCTATTTTCCCCAAACTCCACCAGTGTTCACACTTGGGCATATTTAGTATCTGTGCCAAGTTTGATCCAGATCAATCATTGTTTGAGTCCACGGTGCTCCCTGGATGCAGATGAACTACAACTCCAAAACTCAAGGTCAATGCCTACCAAACACTTCCAGCATTTTCTCTTTGTCATGGGAGTTCTGTGCACCAAGTTTCATTCAATTCCATTGTTGGTGGGGTTCAGAAATGCTCTTTGATTGTAGGTGAACTATAAATCCCAGTAACTATAAATCCCAGTAATTTCCAAATGACAAAATAAATTCTCCCTCCAACCCCACCAGTATTGAAATTTGGCATATTGGATAAGGTAAGGTAAAAGTTTTCCCCTGACATTAAGTCCAGTCGTGTCCAAGTCTGGGGGTTGGTGCTCAATTTCTAGGCTGAAGAGCTGGTGTTGTCCATAGAGACCTCCAAGGCCGACATGACTTCATGGAGCTCTGTTATTGGGTATTTGTGCCAAATTTGGTTCAATGAATGAAAATCCTGAATTTCAGATATTTTCATTATAATTCATAACAGGAACACAATTACTGTTAGGAAGTAGCAACAATAATAATTTTATGGTTGGGGGTCACCACAACATGAGGCGCTATATTAAGGGGTCGCAGCATTAGGAAGGTTGAGAAACACTGATTTAGACCTTTCTATAAGGTCTACATCTTTGGAGGTGTGAGGTCTGTGGAGACTACTGCTGAGATCACCTTCCATGAACTGAAACAACCCACAGAGGAGGTGGCATCAAAGCTCTGTGTGAGCTCCTTACTGTCATTGCAGAACCATGCAGACATAGCAGAGGTGCTCCCTTTTCTCTACGCTGATAAATACACAGGGGAAAGGGCATGGTGCCAGTGGTTTTTATGGACCACGGAGCAGTCCAAATTAGACCCAGTTCTGGTATCCAGATGCCATTTAGTCATGAGGTTGCTCTGGAATTTTAGGCAAACTCCTGACTACCCGCCCCCACCTCCCTTAACATGAGTTTAACTTTGTTTAGTCCATGATAACCATTGGAAATTGCAGAATGACACTGGGACAGCACAGTGAATATAGGGTACTGAGCCCATGCAGAAAAGCCCATCACTCACATACATGCACACAGTGAGATTGCAATAACAGGAAAGCAAGCTGTATAAACAAGAACACTCAACATTTCTTCTTGTGAACAGACTCTCTTTACTCAACTTTGCTATGTTTACTCCAACATGCCATCTCAAAATGACATAGAGCATCTCTGCATTGTATTCTTCTGATCCCTGTGGGAAAACAGTCTGAAAAGAACAAGCAAATCAGTGCTATTACTGAAACTTTTATACCCATGATAATAGAGTTCTGTCACAAACAATTGCTGTGTCCTAGCAACAATGACAGCGCAGACACCATGCAATAAAGTCCTTTCATAATTGCATACCAATTAGATATAAGGCAGAGCTCAGTAACAGTGGCAGTCTAAGCAAAGAATTTCACATAACTAGCACACTGGCACATATGGATGAATGAAGAAGAAGAATTCACAATATGAGAGAGGTAGTGTACTCTCTTCTCCTAAAAGAGTATAGTTCCTAATTTTCATATACACTCATTCCTTTCCTTTCTCCTATATCTAACCATAGAGATTACATGAGATAAGTGATACATGCTGTGTGGGGGCTGCATGCTGATTTTCTTTTTTGAGAACCCTTAAACACTGTACATCTCCATGGATGTGGGTGCTCAAGATATGTGGTGCATCTATGTTGTAAAATTAATGTATTTTGACACTACTTTAATTGTCATGGCTCAATGCTGTTGAGTCATGTGATACGTCATTTTATATGGTTTTTAGTCTTCTATGGCAAAGATTATTGGTGCCTCACAAATTATGAATCCTAGGATTTCATATCATTGAGCCCTGTCAATTTAAAAGGATGCCAAACTACATTAATTCTATGGTGTAGCTGTACCAGCAGTGGTGTTCAGGCTTTCCTTTTGCCTCAGCTCCCTTCATACAGCTATATGTGTTGGCCTTACTTTTTGCAAGATGTTCAACCTGCTGCTTTGTGTTTCTCCTTTGTTGCAGTCAGAAGCCATGCCTGTGACCCAGACCCATATGGGATGCCAGGGGGATGCTCACACATCTGTTTGCTCAGCACCAGCTACAAAAGCAGGACTTGTCGCTGCAAGATGGGCTTCATCCTGGGAAGTGATGGCAGGTCATGCAAAAGTATGTGATTTAAAGTCAGACACTTTGCCAGCAACTAATATTTCAGAGTGGGACTAATATTTCTGGGTGTTAATTAACAGCAGTAGCAACTGCAACAGCAGCAGCACTATCCTCATCTGTCAGCTGGTGATGTGTGTTTGGCAATGTTCCCCTACTTGCCATTTTTATTTCTTTTTATAGTCTGTTTGGCAGGAGCTTGGCCCTGCAGAAAGCGAGGTGAATAGTTTACAGTTGTGGCAGAACAGTGTGAAGGGGGAAAAAAACCCTCTTTGAAATCTTCTATCTCTTATTATCCTTCTCTTATGATACACTGCCATGATGGTCTTTGTCTTAATCCTACAAAATCCTTCCAAGCTGTCTTAAGGGCTTTCAGAGACCATTCATTTATAACATTATAATATCCAAATACTTCTGAGTTCTTGGTTTGTGCTAATATTTTTGCCATCTGTTTAAAGTACGTTTAATTTGATCGGGCAAAAATGTAGAAAGCTCTTTCAGCCCATTTGAATGTTGAGCCAAAGTTAATCAAAACTCTGCATTCCTTATTTTGCTAATTGAAAAACTTCAGGTAATTTTATAGAAATGTTTTCCTTTCGAGAATGCTTTGATATTGACTGCGGCGTAGTACTTACATTATGTTTTGTTTTTACCTTAAAAACATTTATTTCCTTCCTTTTATTAGTGAGCTTCAAGGCATTTCATATAAATAGAACTTTAAAAAAACACATAAAAATAAAACTCATACAAACATGCTCAAAGAGTCATTCAGAGTAGCCAGTTTTACAGCTATACTGCTAATTTAACTCAAAGGCTTTCTTAAATATGCAACACTTGGCTGCTTAAATTTTAAATGGCCAGCAGCAGAGATTTTTTACAACAACCTTAAAATTGAAGCAGAAAATGTTCTATTTCACATCACCAAGAAGGTAATCAGAACAATCTTGGATCCCATCTGCACTGTCATATAATCCCGTTTCTGAACCCAGATTATCTTCTTTGAACTGGATTATCTGCTTTGAACTGCAGATGCAGACTGCAGCCAGGAAATCAGTAGATGTTTACTTCTTGGGAGGAGAGCAATGACCAATCTCGATAAAATAGTTAAGAGTCGAGACATCACACAGACAATGAAGATCTGCATAATTAAAGCAATGGTATTCCCCATCATAATCCATGGATGTGAGAGCCGAACCATAAAGAAGGCTGAATGAAGGAAGATAGACACTTTTGATCTGTGGTATTGGAGGAAAATTCTGAGAGTGCCTTGGATTATGAGAAGATCAAACTGGTCCATACTCCAGGAAATAAACCCTGACTGCTCACTGGAGGGAAGGATATGAGAAGCAAAGATGAAGTACTTTGGCCACATAATAATAAGACAGGAAAACTTGGAGGAAATAATGATGCTGGGGAAAATGGAAGTAGAAAGGAAGAGGGGCCGACCAAGGGCAAGATGGATGGATGGTATCCTTGAAGTGACTGGCTTGACCTTAAAGGAGCTGGGCTTGGTGACAGCTGACAGGTAGCTCTGGTGTGGGCTGGTCCATGAGGTCACGAAGAGTCGGAAGTGACTGAACGAATGAACAACAACAAGACTCTTATAATCCAGGTCAAAGCAGATAATCTGGATTCAGAAACTGGATTTTATGGCAGTGCAGATCCAGCCTTAGACAAAACATATTGCTGAGCAGCTTTATATAAAAGAGGTTCCTTGTCCCAAATCACTCACAGCCATAAAGTTTTAAAAAGCATCATTTTGAACTGGAATGAGAAGCAAATTGAAGCATTATGAAAGTGACCTAGTTAAAATTACCCTGATACTTCTAGGTATTTTTCTGTACAAGCCTATTATGCCACCTATACTCACTGTTAAACCTGCTCCTGTCAGCAATAAATGAAGGTGCATGAAGAGTTATTGTTTTTTTGGATTGCACACTCATACTGTATTGTTGTCACCAAAGAAAGAATTGTTTCTAAAAACCTTTAGCACAACCTTAGCTAAGTATGCATGAGAGAGAAAGAGAAAGAGGGAGAGAGGGACGGAAGAGAGAGAAGCAATATTTATTAGGCATGAAAGGATTTTTCAGAGTACCAAAGTTTTAGCTAAGTAAATATTTATGTTCCTAACTCTAACCTCACAATCTATCCAAAATAACGAGTACATCTACACTCATTCTGAACTCTCTTTCTTCTTAATATGCTTTAATACAGTGTTTCTCAAACAGTGTTCCTCCAGGTGTTTTGGACTTCAGCTCCCAGAAGTTCCAGCCAATTTAGCAGCTGTTAGGAATTGTGGAAACTGAACTCCAAAACATCTGGAGAAGTACAGTTTGAGAATCTCTTTCTCTCTCTCTCTCTCTCTCTCTCTGTGTGTGTGTGTGTTATAACACAAATGTTGACTATCCCTTATCTGTAAAGTTTGGAACCATAAGTGTTTGGGATTTTGGACTACCTATAACTGCATATCTTGGAACTGGGATCCATGTCTAAACATGAAATAATGAGACTAGATTGAAATGGATTGAAATAATGGCCACTTTATTTAGAGCCTATTTGTTTGGGCTGTAAGGTGTGTGTGTGTGTGTGTGGGGAGGGGGGTGATTTGTTCTTACATCAAATTTGTATGTAAGTTGAAATAGGTACATTTTTAACTGTAACTCCAGCCAAATATATTATATTTGGATAGCACAGGGAAGGATTAACACCCCTGTGATGTTTGCTGTTTGTGCCCCATTGAGAAGATTTCATCTCACTTCCTGTCCCTTTGATAATTGGATATTGAAAAAATTGGCTTGCTGTGGAAACAAAGATTGATAGGAAAAATTCAGTTGAGACATCTTTTCCCTGATAACTCTTTCAGGAGTGGATTTCCCTTCCTAGGGGTAGATTTCTCTCACTTCCTGTTGTCTCACCCCCATTCTTAACTGTGAGACATTTGTAAGTCGGATGTTTGTAACTTGGGGACAGTCTGTATATCCTTCCTATATCTATTATTGACATCATCTGTAAAGTGATGTGTTCATGTTATATAAGTGGTCTTTAAACAAAGTGGGTGTTCCAGAGAAATGAAGTTCATTCCACTTTCAAAACTGGCTACAGTTAACAAACAACAAATAATGTCATTGAAGTTTGTGTGTTACATTTGTTATACTCACAGAATACATCATTTGCACATATTCATATAGGTGAAAGATAATCTCTAGGTTTACATTGTTTTCCTCCTTACTTTTAAAATAACCTGGAAAATTATTGTAAATTTCCTAAAGTTCACACTATTGCTAGAGTAAATGGCAGTAACTGGGTCCTAATGAATTGTAAAATGACTGCAAGAAAGTCTATTTTACAATTGCGATAATGTTATCCTGTGATCTATTGGATTTGTGAAACATGTATTGTTACAAGAGAGACATTGATTAATTATATATAACTCAGTCACAGAAGTAATTTGTGTTTTAATTAAGATAATGCAATTAACCAGTCATCTGGAGTTTAGATACTTTCGGAATATTTGAGAGCTTAGTGTTATGTTTTGAAGATTTTTTAAAAAAAAAACACTAATTGCACCAGTTAATTAAACAGTGACAGCTTTCAGTGTAAAGAAATTAGGTGGTATTGAAGGTTTATGTTTGTAATTTTTCTTTCACAGGACCAAAGAATGAGTTGTTCCTCTTTTATGGCAAGGGGCGTCCGGGCATCATACGGGGAATGGATCTGAATACCAAAGTAGCTGATGAATATATGATCCCAATAGAAAATTTAGTCAATCCTCGAGCACTGGACTTTCACTCCGAGACCAATTACATATACTTTGCAGATACTACCAGTTTCTTGATAGGACGTCAAAAAATTGATGGCTCAGAGCGTGAGACAATCTTGAAGGATGGTAGGTGGAGTTTGGAATTATTTCTCCAAAGGTCAGAAAATAAGAAGTTTTGACTGGGCACTTGGTGCTACTTAATTTTGCTTCTGTACTTCAAATCCCTTTAAAAGTGTTACTTCAATTACTTTGTGTTGGGGGAGGTTATTTTTTATTGTTTCAAAATTTAAAATTTTATTGTTCCACGATTAGTTATGAAAATACAGTTGCAAAGTATATTTTAGCATCAGCATGATTTATTTTTGTTGGGATTCAGGGTATGTCACGTGTCTAAAATTATGAGAGACTTTTATCAAGAAGTTAAAGGGTAATTCTGTATACAGATACACTTCCATTCGTACCTGGGAGGATCTAGTTACTCTGTTTTCTGACAATTGCTCATGTAGTATGCCAAAGTTTTAAAACTACCATTATTCTTTTAAAACATTCCTTTCATTTTTGTGCTTTTATCTTTCTGCTACTCTTTCTGCTCAATCTCAAATCAAAGAGCATATTTGATTACCTTTGAAATACTTTTTTGTAAAAACAAAACAAAAACTACAATAATTCATATAGGTTAGCATTCTCTTACATGTCTACATTGCTTGCTAAATTCTCCTCAATTCACTTTATGTAATCTGAACGTTTCTTGAATAACCTGAACTGCATGAAATAGTGATGGGCAATAGGTGGTTGAGAAGTGAAATCATAGATTAATAGCCCATGATTTATTAATCACACACTTTTCCTCCTTTTTCTGAAAACTATTACCAAATACTTGTTCAAAGGATATTTGTGTTTGGCATGGACATGGAATTGTACAACACAGAAGAAAGGCTGGCTATATGAATACTATTACTAATGAATAATTTTTTACCACCAAATCCTATTGTAACTCCCCAAAACGGTTATCCCACTAACTTCAATAGGAGTTGTGCACTGACTTTGCAAGTGCTCATGGAATAGTCTGTTTGAACTAACCAAAATAGACCACTTTGTTCAAGGAAGTCAAATGTCACATGAAGACATATCCTTGCATTTTTGGAGATTTCAGTTTTATAGCTAGTAGGCTGGGACCAGAGCACCACTTTTTCCTACAATGTTCTTCCAAGAAGTAAGGGAATATATTCACACTACATTCTACAGATAACATAATAAGAAAGGAATATAATTCTAAATTATGTCACTCTAGAGAATAGATAGAGGACTTCATTTAGAAAATGCAGCAACTAAAGCTCATTATATGTGGGACTGCACTTGAAGATTGCTCAGAAACAACACCCAGTACAAAAGATAGAAGAAAGATTGCTAACTACAATCGCATAGCATATGTATTTACTTACCACATAACCTCAGTCTTAAAGGAATTGCTATGGCAGCCAATATACTTTCAGTCTCAGCAAGAAGCTGATGTTGATATTTAATCCAATCAAAACATTACACAATAAGGGAGGGAGGGGTAGTAAAAAGTATGACAGACCCACCAAACATCTTTCAGCTCACACAAATCAATAGCTGAAACCCCATTCAAATAAAAATGCCTTTGCTTCCCAGACAAACAGGGAACCTCCCTTATAAAGGTGCTTCATAAAAAAGGTGCTCCATAGCCAAGGAGCAACAACTGAGAAGATTCTCTCCCAAGTCCTCACCAAATGTGTCTTTGACAGAAGTGGGATTGAGAGAAAGCCCTTACGTGAATACTGTATTGTTCGGGCATCTCACATAGAGAGAAATAGTTTTTCAGATAGTCTGAATCTTAACCAGGACTTTTAAGGTCATAAGTACCACGTTGAATTGGTAGCCAGTGATTTTTTTCCCCTGCCAGGGCAATGCTTTGCAGCAATGATTCAAGATTCTTCACGTTTAACTTTTAATAGAAAATTAAGATTTTTGATCTTTAGAATACAGGTAATATATTCATCCATGTGTATTTGGGTTACTAAAACTTTCCTCTATGTGCACCAAAGACAAGATTTGGCTTGGATTGGTTTTCAGTGCCTTGGAAAGAAGATTGCTTTTGGTCATGCCAGTTTAGGAATGAGCTACTTTGAATTGAATCAAATCCATGGCCTCAGTTGATCCTTTGGGTACAATGGTTCAAGGACCAACTCAACATTTAAAAATGTTGAGTTTAATAGGGGCCCTTCTATACTGACCATCAATGGAAGGCCAATTTGGTATCTGGGACCCCGGATTGCTCCCTCATAGTGTCTTATCAGGGACTCATTCAGCTGCCTCACAGTGGCAGAGTCTCTACTAGCCAGCCATGCTGAACATAATTCAACACTTATTTATTTATTTACTATATTTATACCACCTTTCTCACCCCAAAGGGGACTCAGAGCAGTTTACAAGTTGGCAATAATCCAATGCCGCATATACAGAAATATAATAAAATAAACATATATATTTAAAACCATAACATTATAAACATCTAAACATTAAAATTGATTATTAAAACCACATAATCCAAAAACACTGCTGGGCAGCCACTCTAGGAGTCACCACTCTAGGAGTCTCCCCCTCCCCCCCCCAACAACCTACCTAGTCTTCAGCACTCTAGCTGACATCTGAAAGTCACAGCTCCCAAGAACAAATAGGTAGAGTTTCATGGCTAGATACATCCATGTCATGGGGAAGGAGCAGTGTGACAGAAATCTGCCATCCCATGTTCCCAGGCCACCTGAGCCCGAAAATGCAGTATGGCAGTCAAGATTGCTGTGGAACATTTGGGTTAGCAACCAGCACAGCTGTCTTGACAGACCCTATATTGTGTGGAAGCCCAAATTCTAGATCAAGAATTAGGCTTTCCCTCAACTTAGTTTAACCTGAAGCAATAACATGTTATGGCAGCCTTGTCCCAGATTAAACTGGATAAGCCCCATGATATTTACTCACTGTGGAGCTAATCCGATTACACCTCAACCTATTTGTTGTCAGTGTAGACAAGCCCATGGTTTTTATTTTCTTGTGTAGTAACTCTGATTCAATGGATTATGCATTTCAAACCCTATACAGATAGGATTATGCTATGTGCCCTGATGGAACATCTTAAAAGTTTGGAAATAAAAAATAATGATCTTAATCTTATTTTGAGTTGGAGAGGGTGTTGGCTTGAAACAAAGGCATGGAGAAGACTGCAGAATTGCATAAGATTAAATTTTCAAGTGTATGTGTTTCTGAATTGATAAGGTCAATTTATACAGGTAGGTGTGGAGGAATGTGGTGCATATTAGAATGCAGCATTTAGATGAGAGGGATATCTTCCCCTCCTTTTGAGGGAGTGATTTTAATTTGGTGGTGTAAAATTAAGAATAATATTTTGTTTCAGTCATGGAGTCTTGAATAATGAATAAGTATATTAACAATGTTAATATTAACATTATGTTAATGTTTTGCTTTACTTTGTTGTTGTTGGGGTTTTTTTGTATTATTCATCGCTTCCAATGATCTTGTGATTAGAAGTAAAAAAGAAGAGTCCTGATAAAGATTTTTCCTCACTGGAACATCTATTTGTTAATCACAAAGCTAGTCCCTTGATACTTTTTGTAGAGAGGTCTATAAGAATTCTGGAGTGTATCAATTGCTCTGAAGCAATCTAGGGCTTTGGAAACAGCTCATTTTGATGCGGATTTCTTTTTCACCCTAGATGAGCCCCACTCCCTTCCCATCAACTCTTTCAAGCAGCATAGTTCTCCTAGGTTTGAGTATTTATCCAAACTGAATCATTAAGCCTATAATTTTGGAAGCATCAAGAAAAAGAAATGCACTGAAAACAAAGATAAAATATTTATAACTGAAAGCTTTTGCAGGCATGGTATATAAGGGCCTCATCCCTTGGAGGATAGTTAAAAACAATCTTAGTGGAGAGACAGTGAGGAAAATTATTTTGATGTGACCTCAGGAAATGCTCTACTGTATTTGCTTCTCATTGCTTCTCATTTTATAGAAACCACAAACAAGATGCAGTATTATGAATGTATTCCAAATTACATGCATTTAATCTGACTGTCTGCACAAAGTGCAGTCAGTATTGGGACAGTTACTATACAAAAGAAAATGTTTACAGCAGTGATTCTCCTACATTATAGCCCTATGACCCACTTTAGATCTAATTGCAGGTGTTGTCCTCCCCATTTATTATGCGACTAAAATATTTGTTTGTGTAGAGCTTTCTATTTGCATAATTATATATATGCATATTTTGACATTGTATTGAAATAACATCATTCACATTTTATTTAACTAAATTCAATAACGAACTTAACACAAAATACTATTGCAACTTCCCTTTGCATAAGTCAAGACTGTTCAACTCACTCAGGTATGCGTGTGTGTGTGTGTGTGTGTATGTGTATCTCAATCACAGAAAACAAATGGCCAAGTCTGCCACACTTTTACTCAGAGCAAAACCCCAGAGTACCCAATGAAAATTATGCTACTGTAAATAGCACACTATGGGCCTCACCAGAAAGGCTAGGGAGAGTGCCCTGTTTCACCTGCTTCACTGAGAAAAGAGGGGATCAGCGAGGCAAATTTGTCACCTCGCACACAGCTCCCTCTTGGCAGTACTTTCCCCATCACTCTCCTGGTAAGGCCCCTTGCGGGCTCCATTAGAGCCATGTTCTGGGAGAAGCATCCAATGATGCTTCCACCCCAAGTTGAGGGGCAGGACCACCGCCAGAAGTCACACAATGCCATGTGATGTCCGTCGTGGTGCTCCATCACCAAGACAGGGTGGAAGCATCCTAGGACACTAAATCCCCCCCACCTTCTCCTCCTCCTCTTCCAGCAAAGGCTGCCCTATTACTGCCACTCAGTATTGGTGGGGAGCAGAAGTGAGGAACTTGCTTCAAGATTATTTATTTGTTTATTTATGATGTTTCTACTCTACCTTTCTCCAACCTGGAGGTTTGGAGAAAGACTGCTTTACAGGGGTGTCCTAATCCAGGGCTTTTTAAGTCAATGGCCAGTTCACTGTCCCTCAGCCTGGTGGGGGGCCAGACTATAGCTTGAAAAAAAACCATGAATACATTCTTATACACAATGCAGTGCATATTTATTATTTGTAGAGAAAAAGAACAAAGAAAGAACAGTACAATATATAAATTTTTAACCAACATAAATGAGAAGTGTGGGCCTGGTTTTGGCTGATTAGAAGAGTCAAGTTAATTAGGATTGTTGTTGTTGTGTGCCTTCAAGTCATTCCAGACAGTGGCATATACTGCCCCAGAGTCTGGTGGAGTCTCCTTCTTTTTCAGTAGAGGCAGCATGACCAGCATGACCAAAGTCAGGAGAACTTTGATTGTGGCAGAAGGGGCTTATAGTTGCTGCGTGGCTCTCACCTTTTCTTCCCAAAGGAATAGCAACAACAAAGGGCAGCCTTTTTGGAAAACAGGATAGTGATGTGGGACGAGGCTGGAGTAGAGAAGGAATTGGGGAGGGAAGCCAGGCAGATGCTTGGCCTCCAAGCCCCACACTTCCTGACCATTCAGCAGCAGCAGCGCCAGCAGCAAGCACCTGGGGCAAGCAGGGCAATTGAGGAGCCTTCCTTTGTAAATAAATAAATAAAAAGTTGTGGTAGAAGAGAGAGAGATACAAGGGGCCACTGGCACGGGATGCCCGACGCTGAGCCACCTGAGGAGAAGGCAACACTTAATTGGGGTGAAGGGACACAAGAGGCTTCCATCTCTCTTTCTCTTTTCCCGGGGAGCCTCTTTTTCAAAGCCCTGACTCCTAAGAAGGGAGGAAGGAAAGAACCAAGAGAGGAGGTCATGAAAGGAAGAAGGAAGAAAGCCAAGGAAGGGAGAGAGGAAGGAAGGAAAGAAGCAAGTGAGGGAGGGAAGGATGCCTGGAGAGAGAAGACTGATGGAAATTTGAATAGGGGCCACAATTGGCCCCCGAACTGGACTTTTGACATGCCTGCCTTAATAACATCCACCAGTTCCAACCAATATGACCAAGTAACAGGAAAAACTGAGTTGGAACAATTTCTGGAGGGCACCTTATTTCCCAGTACTGCTTTAAAATAGGAACAATTGTCCTTCAGTTGTAGTTTTCTTCTACCAAATACAGAACTGTTATGTATTGATTTCTCATAAACTTTCAGAATGTTTGCACTTCTATTGCATCATTCCTTAAGTAGTATTTTTCTCTCTCATCTGAAATTTGCTGTATTGCAGTATAACAAATTAATCTAACATATTGGACTGGTCTGGTTTTCTAATAAACTTACTGCTATACCTGCTAGATTTAATTACCTCGGAAAAATGTCAAAGCTGTTGCTGCTCAAGAAAGATATTGAAATCTGAGAATGCAAAGGAAAAATAAAGTATTTTAGAGAAAAATCTTGATGTATTGCTAGAAGTTCTAAAAAGCTTTTGTTCTAATGATCTGAAATACTTAATTCACTTCTATCCTCATGCATTTTAATGCATTGAACAGGTTTTTTGATATACTTAAATTATGTTTTGCAACAGATGCTTCCCTCTGTGTTACCACAGTTTTTTTCCAGGGAATTCTCTTGATTCAGAAGCTTTCAATGTTTCTACTATACATAGGCATGCTATGATACTCATTAAGACCCTTTATTGTATTTGTAAGGTTACAAATTTGTTTCTATGACAACAGTTAATTACTAATCCTCATTTTTCCTCTTTTCCTTATGTTTTGTTCTCAAGGTTTGTCATACTAATCGGGCTTTTTCCCACCATGTAACACTTCAGACTATACTACCATGCTGACAAACAACTATACTGTCATTGCAGTTGAACATAGTGATGCATATATATGACATAATAGTATGAATTGTAACTACTTCAATCACATTTGAGCTGCAAGTGGTTTGGAACTTCATCAATATCTTTTCAAAAATAATATGAATAATACGGAATATGTATACTGCTTTTTTAAACAGATCTTGACAACGTGGAAGGCATTGCAGTGGACTGGATAGGAAGTAATCTATTTTGGACAAATGATGGCAACAGAAAAACAATTAATGTTGCCAGATTAGAGAAAGCATCTCAAAGTCGGAAGACTCTGTTAGAAGGAGACATGTCACATCCTCGAGGAATTGTTGTGGATCCTGTTAATGGGTATGAAAAAAATTATTTCTAAAATAATGTTTAATCTATTTTGGAAGTAAGACCTCTCGATATTAGACTAATTGATATACATATATTAGAGGAGACTATGTACAATTTAATTCAAAAATAAACAGGCCTTTCTCAGGTTTCGTAAGCCTTTTCTGTTCATTTATTAATAGACTAGCCGTCCCCTGCCACACGTTGCTGTGGACCAGTCTAGTGATCTGGAAAATAAAGTAATGGTTTCTAATCTATGTAATTTCTTTACATTTATGGGTAAACAGTATTTCTTGTTTTTTCTTTGCCAGTGGTTTTTTTTTTTTTTTTGGTTCAAGCAGGCATTTATTTAACAAATGTCCAGAAATACTCTGAGTGATATAAGCAAGCTACAGGCTATTAGAAGCGAAATTCTGCTCCCAACAGAAAAGAACAGAAGTGTTTCCTCCCCTAAAAGCATATGATGAAGCAGGGACAATAGTCAATGCACTCACATTTTTAAAAAATATGCAACCTTCCTTTTTCCAATGTCTTTTGTTAAAATAAAATAACATATTTATTACAATTTTCAGTACGTTTTGATGTTTCTTTGCCAGTGTTGATGTGGAGAGTGTCTGGTTTATCTACTCTGGAACAGGCAACATATAATTGTCCTTCTTTAGGGGTCCCTTTCAAATCCATGATATTATATCTTTCTGTGTGTGAATCATATCTATCTATCTATATGTATGGCTGGATGGCTGTTTGTCAGGAGGGCTTTGATTAGATTTTCTTGCCCTGGTGAAGAGAGTTGGACTGGATGGCCTTAAGTATTGTCTGTTTGTTATGGGTGTTCTGTGTGGGAAATTTTCCCCAATTCTGTCGTTTGTGGGATTGAGAATGCTCTTTGGTTGTAGGTGAACTATATAGCCCAGTAACTACAACTCCCAAATGTCAAGGTCTATTTTCCCCAAACTCCATCTGTGTTCATATTTGGGCATATGGAATATTTGTGCCAAGTTTGGTCCACATCCATCATTGTTTGAGTCCACAGTGGTCTCTGGATGTAGGTGAACTACAACTCCCAAACTCAAGGTCAATGCCCACCAAACCCTTCTAGTGTTTTCTGTTGCTCATGGGAGTTCTGTGTGTCACCTTTGGTTCAATTCCATCATTGGTGGAGTTCAGAATGCTCTTTGATTGTAGGTGAACTATAAATCCCAAGAACTACGACTGCCAAATGACAAAATCAAAAAATTTTGAGTGAAGGACATACATTGGGTGGTTAGGTGTATGCTGTCCAAATTTGGTGTCAATTCGCCCACTGGTTTTTGAGTTCTGTTAATCCCACAAACGAACATTACATTTTTATTTATATAGATGTTTAGATATTGTTAGCCATGTTTATGATTTCTTCATCTGTCAACTTCCATGTTATACTGTTTTGCATTTGCAATGGTGCTTTGAAGTCAGAAGTAGTATTTTTACAGTCTTCACCTAATTGAGAAATACAGAGCTTCCATTTGCTTTAGATATAGCATTGGTATGAACTTTTTAAAGTTTCCAATAATGTCCATAGAACACTGCCAACAGGGCAACTAATTCTGTCAGTGGACATCGTAATTTGAAACTGCAAAAGACTGGGTTTTATTTAGCCATAGGATGTCCACATGGGAAAAATTTCAAAGGCAATTCCAATTCCATAGTGGCTTTGCTGTGGGGCCCACTGGCTCCAATAATAATAATAATAATAATAATAATAATAATAATAATAATAATAATAATAATCTTTATTTATACCCCACCACCACACTATCTCCCTGGTGGGGACTCAGAGCGGCTTACTTGGGGCCAAGCCCAGACAACATATTTCTGCAAAATAAAACCAATACATAAACATCAAACAACATCAACAAAATTACATAGAGAGAAAAAAACATTCCAATAAACACAATCACGATAACAAAGGGCGTGCCACATGTACAGGATAAAACGGTTAAAAGACTCTAATGAGATAAAAATAGGAGCAGGTTATTTGCAAGGAACTCATAAAAACACAGAGTTGTGAAGATAAACTTCCCAATTTGGAGGGCATGTACACCATGGCGAAAGCATAGAGGGGAGTAGTAGTGTCATGATGTGCACCTACTCACCAAAGGCGTAGTGGAAGAGCCAGGTTTTTAGGTTATTTTTAAACATTTCTAGTGAAGGGGCTTTCCTGATCTCTCCAGGTAATGAGTTCCAGAGTCGGGGAGCCACAGCGGAGAAGGCTCTCTCCCTTGTGCTCACAAGACGAGCTTGTGAGATCACACACTGGAGTACATGTGGGGCAGATCCATGACAAAACTGCTGCAGAACTGGAGTTGCTGCTGAATAAAGCCAGCAGCAGCGACACGGGAGCAATCCAGACAGCGGAAACTGCCCCCCCCCCAGGATGGTGCAGGGCATGGGGCAACAGGTTGCCATGCCCCTGGATGTGTATCATAAGAATCACCACGATCCCCAGCAATTCTTGTGGCATGCCTGAAGAGCTCCATAGATTCACTATTTTTTACATCAGCATAAGCTGACTTCGCCATATTAGTTGCGGTCTTAACGCAATTTCTAAAAAAGGAACATTAGTTGCTAAGTCAAATTAGAACAAAGTGTTGTGCATTATAAAGGGAACTAACATACACTGAGAAATTCAACCAAAGTGAATAGCATTCAAATTTATATTCTAATGATGGGATTGAACCCTAATCATAGGGCATACTCCCATGGAGATTTAGAGATGAAGCAACTTTGATAGTTCTTTTAGTCTTTGGCATCCCATTTGCCCCTTAAAAGGGTGGACTTGTGTCAGCAGTGGAACTGAGGGGTGCAAGGGAGACATAGTATTAGAACAAAAAAACCCAAATCTTTCTAAAGTGTAATAATCCCTCTATTAAAGTGATTTCCATCCTTTGGTTCTCCAAGTGTTTTGGACTTCAACTCCCAGAAATCCCAGCCAGTTTACCAGCTGTTAGAGATTGTAGAGCCATTGCTCTGTTGGTTCAGATATTGTCTGTGGATGAAAAGAGAGTGTCTGCTTATTGATAGCAAGACTTCATACAGCTCTATATCCTTAGCATATATTCCCATGTATAAGTCAGTTTCATGTATAAGTGAAGGGTGGGTTTTAGAACCAAAATTATGGATTTTGATATAACTTGTAGATAGGTTGAGAGTCCATGGAGAGAGGAAAGCATCACTGCTGTTTTGTGGTTCAGCCACTCCTGGCTGCTGCTGTCACCATTTCCCCTCTCAGGCATTTTACAATGCCAGAAATGATGCTGTGATAGAAAGAGTAGAGGAGATCAGTGCTTCCTTTATGTTCCCTCGTATGGACTAAGTTCTTACCTTCTTCCACTCTCCTTAGAGAAGGGGATGGTTCCTTTTTTGATAAATGTTAAGGTGCAGTATTCACACTGACTTGTGCATAAAGTCGATCTAGGGTTCTTTGGGTTGCTATTTTGACTAAATATTCTTAACTTTTATATAAGCATATAGGATACTCGGGAAAGTCTTTGTATAAATTCGCCTCTTAACTTCTTGGGAATTTGGTGACAGAGAAGTCTAAAACGGGCTATAAGGACGTTATCAGCCAGAACATCACAAAATACATTTCTATGTGCATCTCACAAAAAGCCGATTGAAAAAGATAAGCTTATAAGAATGAAATCTATTTCTAAAGCCCCAAATAAAGAAAAGCTCATTAAAAACAAAGCTGGCTTGGAATCAGATTCTTTAAAAAATAAACTACTGTGACCAGTGATGGCAGTACAAGTGAAATCCTCAGTTTGCAAAGGTATTACTTTGTTGCTCTTGTGCAGAACCACAATCTGGTCATTATTCATGCAAATGTCTGTAACTTCACAATGACAAACATACATACAAAGCCAGTTGGGCTTCATGGCCATTATTCCTTTTCAAAGAATAATAAAGACAATTTTTTGGCAGCAGAAGAACAGCACAGGACTTTCATACACCTAGAGAGTAAATATACCCTGAGGAAATCAAGTAAACACGCATCACACAGTGTGAAAGTAACCAGTTTCCCCCACAAAGTGGTATTATTATAGTTTAGAAAGCCAGCGAATGATAGATATATTGAAGTTATAATGTTTATGCTAATTAGAATCAGGGGTTAGAACAGATGTTTTTAACTTAATTTATTTCTTTGAACATTAGGGAGGCTGAAGGATTTATATGTTGAAGTTACTGGGGAAATAACAGTTTTTGTCAGTCATTGCTTCCTGTCAAAATATTCTGCGGTCTGCAAACCAGAACTCCTCTTTGATGCAAGATCTTGCCAGTGTGGAATCTAGAATACTGTTTGGTACAAATCTTTCCAAGGTTGCAAACTGAAACTCATGTCATAAAACATCCCATGGTTTTAAAAAAGTTCCTTATTTCCTATCATAGATTTTTTTAAAAAGAAAAAAAAAGACTCAAAACTCACTATTCTCTGTGTCAAAAAATAGCAACTCATTATGTTAAAAATAAAACATTATTATTCAAAACCTCATTATTCAAAATTCTAATTAATTAAAACGACGCATTATTTGTTATGTGTTATTCCAGTCTCTGTTTAAACTCTTGCTTGCTCTGCTTTGGCTGGAATAAAAGTGAGTTTGCAGCACAAGAGACAGTAGTGAGTAATGATTGTAGACTCAAAGAACAGTTCATTTCAGGATCAATATATCACAATGTCAGGTGAATATACCAGTTTTAATGGAGCTATAGTGATGTTCTTACATTTTAAGAAAAGAAAAGCCTTTCAGAATGAACTTTCCATGTCATCCATTATTCAGATTTAGCTCATTTGGGTTTTTTTCCCCACTTTAAATTATATCACATATTGCACTTTATTGGCTTATGACTGAATAAACACAAACACATTTGAAAAACGTACACTTGAAGTGACTCAGACAGGCCCTTGTCACTGTTCACACTTTCACATTATGGTTGGGCAAACACAGGCCAGTCTGCTGGAAGCCAATATTGATTTA